ACAACGAGACAACCAGTAGCGTTCCTGCAGGGAGAACATGGAGACTCCACCGGCTGGGAGGAGAACCTGCGACTGTCTCACTCTGAGGCAGCAGAGCCAACCTCTGCGCCACCGCGCACGTTTCCCCTGAAGTCTGAGCCCGATAAAAACATCTGCTTCCTGTTTTTGTTTTAACGACGCTCGACTGAAACAAAACCAGAACCCTGAAGGTGCTGCTGAGCACCGAGAGTCTGGACCACACGAGTCAGACTTGTGGCCCCACAGGATGCTGGTCTTTTAGTCCTCTCGGTTTTCAATAGTTTCCCCCCCAGCTTCTGTAAATGTTCCTCAGTGTTCTGCAGGGCGTTCTCCAGAGGAGGACCACACCAAACCCAACAGTGGACTCCACCTGTCTGCTCAGAGCCGGGACAAGGACCGCAGTCAGCCGGGACAGGAAGCTGAACCCCCCCCTTCGCTTCCTCCTCTCTCCCTCAATGAGGAGAAAGCTGCAGCTCCTCCTCCTCGTCTTGAAGACCTCTCCCCCTGTTCCTGCGCCCAGAAGGAGGACCTGGAGAAGACTGGCTCGTCCGGCTGTAAAAAACCTCAAGTGTTTTTATGAATCAGACTCTGAGGTGAACCGTTTTCATTCTGTGGTTTCAAACCAGGCGGCACGGTGGTTCAGCTGCTAGAGCTGCTGCCTCTCAGCAAGGAGGTCGCTGGTTCAAATCCTGGTCCAGGGCCCTTTCTGGGTGGAGTCTGCATGTTCTCTCTGTGCTTTGTGGGTTTTCTCCCGGTACTCCAGTTTCCTCCCACAGACTAAAAACATGTATGTTAGACTGATTGGTAACTCTAAATGTCCCTCGCTGTCTCTGATGGACTGGAGACCTGTTCAGGTGTCCCCGTGATGGACTGGAGACCTGTCCAGGTGTCCCCCGCCTCTCACACAGTGATGGCTGGACATGGGCACCAGTGGCACCAGTGACCCCCGCGACCCGAAAAGGAAGAAGCGGGTAAAAGATGATGGATGGATGGATGGTTTCAAACCTTCATCATTTCAGAAACAAACTTTTAAACTTTAGTTTCAGATTAAATTAAAGTTGCAGCTTTTTGTTTCCACATTAAAACAACTGATCTCGAACCGATCCGATGAAGAGTCCGTGTTGAAGTTTGAACCACCAACGTGTTCAGGGTTTCCTGCTCACAGCTGATCTTAGCTTCCTGTTTCCTGCTCACAGC